GAAGAAGACACTTTCTCACTCTTCGGCTCTCTCTTTCTCTCTTCCTTCCAGCTCACATTTTATACAGGGATCGGGGTCAGTTCACGGCTGTGAACTCCCGCACGCGTCCGTGAACTCAGCGTGTTGCGTCGAAACGCACCACTTCACTTGCTTGGGTTCACGGGCAACGACTCAAGTTTACGGTCTTAGTGACTGTGAACTCACCTGGCGTCAGTAACATCTGAGAATGCTCTGGACGCCTCGTCGTTCACGGTTTTTTGCTTCCAGTTCATGGTCTTAGCAGACCGTGAACTCCTAAGGGAAATCGTGAACTCAGCGCCGAAATCACTTTTTTCCCGGTCTTCGCTCCTTTTCTTCCAAATTTCGACTCTGGGGCTAGTTTCACCTGTTAGATCCTGAAACACGCTAAAACACAAGAAACCTAGCGTAAAACCACCCTTTTAGGAGCACAAATGCCACAAACGCCGAAGGAAAACGAGGATAGAATGCATACAATTAGGCCCGAATCAGAATCAAATCTAACTCTTAAACAAACAAGGAAATAAGAATCCAAACTAAAAAAGGAAACAGATTGCAGTTGCTTCACTTCCAAGGTTCTGCCTTCTTGCGCAAGTCATCAATCCAGCTTCCATAGCCACTTTGAGGCTTTCGTTCAAGGCCTTCCAAAGAGGTTCGACCCAAACAGGCTTCATTCGATTCTTCCCCTGATCTCGTACTTCAAGTTCCAACTCCTCCCTTTCAGCGACGATCCTCCATTTGCATTGAATAAGCCTCCCAAGATGGCAGCTCGACATGCTTCCAGACTTAACCAAAATCAGGCAGTCTTCCAGTTTCATCATAACAACTTGAGGCATCTTGATCAAGCACCTATGGACTTTAACTCGTGCAACCAACTCCTCGAAGTTGTAAATAAACACTTGTTCTTCAATTCCCCACCTTTCTCTTGCATTTCCATCGACGACGATGTAAGATACGAACCTGTAAAGAAAGCACCATAAAACATTTCGAACACTTAGTCAAATTCGGCCTTTCTTCCTTCCAACATAAGTTGATTCTGTGACATCCAATTGACATGCGTTTAAGGGGAGTTTTAGGATCATATCACCGCCTGTCCGGCCGACTAGTCAAGCAGGTGGGTGGGTGGGTGGGCCGGGAACTGACTTATATTTTTTAGAGAAATTATTAATTAATTATTTTGTATCCTTAACCGATACCAAGATAATTAACTCAATGGAATATTCGAGAGATAGTTCGGCCGGTAATTATCTTACCGATGTGGTTTAATGAGGGAAGTAAATTTTTTTTTGGATAAGGGTGATATGTTTCATTTTGTTGTCATTAAGGTACTACTGAAGGGTTTCGAACCTGGGACCTCCAGGTTCTAGGCTAGTGGTATAACCACTAGACCAAGCCCTTGTTCGTTTAATGAGGGAAGTAATTATATTCCTAAATAACGCAACTTATTCCCCAAGTCAGAGGGTATATTTTTCGAGGTCTCGGCTCCTATAAATAGTCGTCTCACAAACCCCTCTAGACGCACCACCAAAGAGCAGAAACACGGGCAAGAGAGTGTTTAAAGAGCTCCAGTTTTTGCACAAAACCACCAAGCATCCAAGAATAGTTGTTTTATCCTAGAGACGACTGGTTGGTAGTCTGTCATGGCAACGATGGCAGTGCCGCGAACTTTTTAAAGAAAGCGACCTAGTCTACGATTCAGCTCCAGATTCGGTAACCGTTCTTTTGATTGTTCCGTTACTAACAAAACCATTAGAGGGCTTTCGATACGAAAGGGCTCAATAATTTGAGGAAGCGGATCTGATTGATTGATGTTGTACGAGATCTAGGTTGGGGTTCTGGGTGATTTATCATTCCTTCATCGAATCTTTTTCCTTTTTCGTTCGGGTTGCTTGATTGTCACAAAAACAAATAAAAAAAGAGTCTGCTAGAATCAACGGGTGCTGATTTTGGAGATTTTACCAAAAATAGCACTGTTTAATTTTTTTTCCAAAAATAGCACCCAACTCCGAAAAATTCCAAAAATAGCACCATTTTTGTAAAACCGCCACCCGGAGGTGCGTTTTTCGATGAAAACGCCACCCGATGGCGCGTTTTTCGATGAAAACCGCACTGGTAGGGAGCGGTTTTGCAGACCGCACCCCCAGGGTGCGTTCTGCCTTTTTTTTTTTTTTTTGAAAAATCCTAACTTAGGTGGAAACTTCAAACGAACGTATCTTTATGTTCGGGTATCCGATCGTCGCGATTTTTTATTTTATTTCGCATAACCTTTTGAGATCTTGCAAGCCGAAGACTGCCAAAGGTGGTTTGGTCTCGCCTTCGTCCCAAAAAATGTCGTTTGCTACCCTGAACGAACTTTTTTCCGATTTCGTCAAACTTTGGACAACCATAACTTTGTGCTCCAAAATCCAAACGGCATGAATTTTTTTTTATTTCGCATAAATTTTTAAGGAATACAACTTTTATCATAGACATAATTTCAAAATGTACGTGGATTGCTGAGAAGGGAAGATAAGCTATTCCCAAAATCCTGTATATCCAAAAATAATTCCTGTTTTGAAAATACATTCCTATTAAAAATTGTAGTCCTTAAAAAGTTATGCGAAATAAAAAAAATCATGCCGTTTGGATTTGGAGCACAAAGTTACGGTTGTCCAAAGTTTGACGAAATCGAAAAAAAGCTCGTTCGGGGTAGCAAACGACATTTTTTTGTACGAAGGTGTGACCAAACCACCTTTGGCAGTCTTCGTCTTGCAAGATCTCAAAAAGTTATGCGGAATCAAAAAAAAAATCGCGACGATCGGATACCCGAACATAAAGATACGTTCGTTTGAAGTTTCCACCTAAGTTAGGATTTTTCAAAAAAAAAAAAAAAAAAGCAGAGCGCACCCTGGGGGTGCGGTCTGCAAAACCGCTCCCTACCAGTGCGGTTTTCATCGAAAAACGCGCCATCGGGTGGCATTTTCATCGAAAAACGCACCTCCGGGTGGCGGTTTTACAAAAATGGTGCTATTTTTTGAATTTTTCGGAGTTGGGTGCTATTTTTGGAATTTTTATATTTAAACAGTGCTATTTTTGGAAAAATCTCATGATTTTGGGATGCCGACGTAAAACTATTTTGACCGAACCACATTAAAAATCCCAATCTCCATTTACTTTCCTGCTCCATTTCTTTTGTTTCTCTTTCTCTGTTCTCAAGTAAACTAGAGGCTCGAATAATACCCGCATGCTGGTTGGCTTTTCAGTGTCCACATTTTGGGCTTCAATTGTTTCACGAAACTGCTGTAAGAAACCCAGTTATTTCTGGAAAAAATCCCAGAATACACCAATTATTAAAAAAAATTACCAAAATACAGTACTTATAAAAGTAATTCCCAAAGTACAGCAGTTTCAACATCACTGTCTTTGTCTAAGACAGTGATGTTGATCACCGTTTTGGTCTAAAACGATGATACATCACCGCTTTTGACAAAAGCAGTGATGCTATCACCGCTTTAAACCAAAGCAGTGATGCCATCACCGCTTTCAAGGACGACAGTGATGGCATGACCGTTGATGAGGGAAGCAGTGAGGCCTTCACCGTTGGATCCAACAGCGGTGAAGTGGCGCGGATCGCTGACGTGGACGCGCGCGGGCACTTCACCGCTGAAGACCAAAGCGGTGATAGCCCCGCTTTCCACGTCAGCGATCCGCCCCACCCCGTGCCTTCACCGCTGTCGTCCGATGCAGTTATGCGCGGATTGTGGTTTTTCTCCACAATCCGACGCATCAGAAGCCGCCACGTCCCCTATCCGTGCCCATCACCGCCTTTGTTGGACGCAGTGATGGCACTGTGTTTGTTCGGGGCGGTGATAACTGGCCAGGACTTTTCCCAGCCCCAAACACTATAAATACCCATCCCCCCTCATTCCAAACCACACCACCACTTTATACTTCTTTCTCCCTCCATTTTTCACTCTAGTTTCGTTCTAAGTATGCTCTGTGGTTGCGGCTAAGTCCGATCTTCCGCATCAGAAAGAATCACTAGAGTTTTTGTTTTGTTGTTTTGTCGATACTCTCGCTAGCTTTTCGGCAAAAAATGGACGAAGAGGCTTTGAGAGTACGTAAATTTATTTAATTCTTTTGTGATTTTTTTTTACATGGGTGCTAAAATTTAAATTGATTTGATTTCATATTTTTTATAGATGGGTGCTGAGATATACGACCCTAGATTGTATATCGATCCTAGCCCAAGGGATCGAAGGTATTTAACCGGGCAAGATCAACATCGCTCTCGTTCAATTTGGAACAATAATCCGGTAGACACACTAAAATTATTTCAATAGTTTTAAAGTTTTTATTTTTCTTTCTAAGTTTTTATTTTGCTTTCTATTGACTGACAATATTGTGTTTTTTGTTTTGTAGGAATCACTTATTCCCATCAGTCATCGAGGGACATGTCGATTGCCTCGTTGGCATCCTCGACTGCATCCCTATCTAGAGAGGGCGGGATTGCACAATTTGAGGCACTTTATGAGGCTTGATATTGACAACGATCTGCTGACGGCAATGGCAGAGCGATGGCGCCCTGAGCTGCATACCTTCCACTTTCCCGAGGGTGAAATGACGATCACCCTCAAAGATGTTGCCATCCTCACCGGGCTCCCGATCACCGGAGATGCCATCATCGACAACTCGAGAAAACCAGAAGATGGTTGGGGGCCATTGATTCAGGAACGTCTGGGGTTCAACATGCCGACCACCACGCCCGTCGAAGGGGTTGGGCATCCACCACTGAATGCGGGGCAAGTATCGATCCCGTGGCTTGTTGACCACATCCAATTGGAGGTTAATATAGGCCCGGATACTCCTGAAGATCAGGTGGAGCGGTATGCACGTGTATACCTAATTGCCTTGGTTGGTGGGTTTCTGTTCCCCGACAAGTCAAATAAGTGGATACAAGGCATGTGGTTCCCTATGCTCCTCGGTGACTGGGACGAGATCGGGAGAAAAAGTTGGGGGTCGGCCGTCTTGGCTGGAATCTACCGAGAGTTGTGTACTTGCTCGAGGTTGGGAGCGAAACAAGCTGGTGGTGTGATGTTCATACTTCAGCTCTGGGCATGGGAGCATCTTCCGTTTCTCGCACCTCAAGACCCTCGGGAATTCTGGTTGCCAGATGATGAGCTACGATTTGTAGCAAATCCCCCATATGGTTTCAAGTAAGTTCAATTTAAGTTGAATTTATTTTAGATATGCAATGGTAGCTAGTTAGGTGAATTTAGATTTTAGTGAACTTAGTATGCAATTTTAAGTATGCAATTATAGTATTTTAGTGAACTTAGCTATCTTCCAACTAAGCGAATTTAGAGACATTTTAGGTCTGTAATTCTAGTATTTTAGTGAATTTAGATATCTTCCAAGTAAGTGAATTTGGATTTATTCTAACCAAATCGTATTTAGCTAATTTAAAAATTGCTTATATATGTACTTTTGCTTAATTAGGTGGATCGGAGCAAATACAAACGACCACCAGCCCGAGCACTCTTTACTGTTTTATCGTGCTAAATTTGATAAGCCTTGGTGGAACCAGGTAAAAATATTGAATGTCATGATTTTCAATTTATTAGGTGGAGTGGATATAATTTTTACTAATTCCATGAATTATAATGATTGTAGGCGGTATGGGATCCATATCCAAATGAAGTGGTTGAGTTGCATCGTCTTAGACATCCCGAGGATCAAGAGACATGGTTGTGCAAGGTGCCCTTAATCTGCTGGCACATGGTGGAGTGGCACCTGCCCGATCGATCTTTGAGGCAATATCGATTGGAGCAACCAATTCCAGCATCCCCACCTCAAGGGTTCAGGGAGCTCCACGCCATTGACCTACGCTACAACAAAAAGGATTGGACCCGCAAGCATGAATTCTACATCAATATATGGGAGAATAGAAATCAGTGGGTGGTCCAAGGGGCGCCGGAGACAAGGCCAATGGGGTACCACGATGGCTACATGCGGTGGTATCGGAACTTCACGCTAAGATGGGTGTCAAAGCAAGGTGCTGTTTGGGGCGCAGTGGTAAGTGAATTCCATTTTGGCCTATTTTAGTTAATTTTTGTAGTATAATTTCATACCTATATTAGCTAGAATGTTAATTAACATTATTAGATTTAATGTTAGTTAATTTTTGGAGTATGATTACATGCCTATATTAGCTAGAATGTTAATTATCTATATTAGATTTAATGTTAGTTAATTTTTGGAGTATGATTACATGCCTATATTAGCTAGAATGTTAATTAACATTATTAGATTTAATGTTAGTTAATTTTTGTAGTATGATTACATGCCTATATTAGATGATAGAAATCATTATTAGATTTACTATTAGTTAATTTTGTACAACAATTTATTAGGTTGACGGTTTGGAGCATGCGAAGCACACCGTCGAGAGTGCACCCACCATGGATGAGCGGAAGACATCTTTTTTGCGCAGGCTTTTCAACAACTTGCTCTGTTGTACCAGAGAGCAAAGGAGGGATGTCATATTATACCCTCCAGTGCCTGCTCCGGCCCGACCTTCATTCCGTGCTGATGAGAGGATCGTGCCCCCACAAGAGCCCCCACGGAGGAGCAGAAGAAGGGTGAGAGAACACATTGAAGAGCTTCGTCCGTCTCAGCAAACTCAACTTCCTCAACCATGGCCACATTGTGAGTGGGCTACTAGTACTGAGGGAACCGGAGGGTCGTCAAGCTATGCCCCGACTCAGGAGCATGACATGTTCACCCAAGCCACCCCTCAGTTCCACCATCAGCAACAAACTACTCAGTATCAGACCCCGCAACAACAACATACATCATCGACTTTCTACCACGCTTCTGGTCCACCTCAGCAACCTCCACCCCCACCACCTGTCTACACTCCGGTGGGTGGTCGGGTTAAGAGGAATCCGCGCGCAGTTGTCCAGCGGGCTCGTGAAGAAGGAGAAGGAGGTAGAGAGGACGGAAGAAGGGGCCGAGGAGGTCGTGGAGGAAGAGAAGGGGAAGTGGAGGGAAATGAAGACAACCAGTGAACTATCTATGTCGTTCTAATTTAGTTTCATCTTTTTTTGTTTTCCATGAACTATCCATGTCGTCTAAATTTGGTTTGGGTCTTGTGTTGTTTTCCATGAACTATCTATGTTTCTAAATTTGGTTTCGGATTGTGTTGTTTTCCATTAACTATCTATGTCGGCTAAATTTGGTTGGTTTTTACCCCCATGTTGTACAAAAATGAACAACAAACGCCCTTTATTACAATCACTCAACAAGATTAAAACAAGAAGTCCAAATTAAACATCACAACAACGAAAACTACTCAACAAGATTAAAACAAGGAAGTGAACAACAACAACATCAAGGTTGGTTCGGAATTGGCGCCGAATCTTGCTCTAGAGGTGGACCTGGGCAACGCCTCTTGTCATGACCCGGTTGTCTGCACTTTGAGCAACGCTTTGGACCCCGTCGGGCACGTTGTGATTGGTCCATTTCATTGTGAATCCTTTCGGTCCTAGGACGACCTTTGGTGCGCTTTAAGTGTAACGGTGGGATAATCAACTTCCCATTGTCTACAGGCCAATAAGCTTCATCCGGCAGGGGGCTAAAACTTGACGAGTATGAGTTCCTGATCGCCTGTTCCGTGTAGTAAGGACTAACCAAACTGTAAGGGCTGAGGGTGATCGACTTAGCTACTGCCATTGCATGTGAACAAGGTACTCTTCTGTTTTGATACTTTTGGCATGTACACTCTCCGGTGCGAGTTTCTACGTGTAGAGTAACGGATTGACGATTATGCCCACGTCTTCCTCCACCCCAGATACCTGTTTGCACAGCAAAAATACCTTCATTGCGGTTGAACAGAACAACTCTGTGCTTACTTGATTTCTCTTCGATCTTCTGCATGCCATCAAATATATGCTTAGCTATTGAATGACCAACACGCTCCCTCCCTATAGCAGCATCCCGTCTCTTCACAAACCACTCGTTTACCTTCCAGTATGTCATCTCCACTAGGACAGATACAGGCATTGCCCTAATGCCCTTGTAGACTCCATTTATGCTCTCCCCATGGTTGGTAGTTGCAATTCCGAATCTAGCCCCGTTGTCCATGTAAAATGTCCACATGTGCAGATCTTGACCTTCTGCCCATACTGCTCCCGCCCGGTGTATTTGACGGATCGTCTTCATCTTCTGCTCGTACTTTTTTGGTTGATGTGCAACCGCTACAAGACCGGAGAATTAATAATTAATCCATAAGAAATGTCATGAACAATAAACCATGAACAAGCACTGAATTACATTATTACCTGCACTCCACAATTGATCTCTTATGTCTTTCTTCTTGCCAAATTTGTGTTGGAAATTGGCTAGGAAGTGACGAATACACCAACGCCATGTCCATCCCCATTCGTCCGTGGTGGCGTGTTTAATCCCGGCATGTCGATCCGATATAATTGTAATACCCATTCTTTGTGTGACGTGGGCGTGTAGCTGGTCAAAGAACCATGCCCAACTTAGGTTGTTCTCCCCTTCAACTAATGCAAATGCTAAGGGAAAAATACTTAAATTTCCATCAACCCCAGTGGCAATAAGAAGAGTTCCTTTATACTTCCCAGTAAGGAAAGTTCCATCAACCTGTTAAAATGAATAATGAGTTAGTAAAAATTGAAATTAGTAAAGTAATGAAATAGTACAATATTTTGAGTCCGTAATATACCTGAATCACTGGCATGCAGAAGGGAAACCCGTCAATGCATGGCTTGAATGTCCAGAACAGACGATGAAACATCAACTCGTTCTGTACTCGAACTTGATCTTCAGTTTCTACGTTGTTGTACCAAGGCACGAAAACCGTCCCAGGGTTGGACTCCTCCATTGCGGACATTAGTCTGGGGAGTAAAGCATACGAGTCATCCCAATCACCGTAGACATCAGCCATGGCCTTCTGCTTCCCATGCCACGCCTTCTTATACCTTATGGTGTAGGAGTGTCGATCCTTCACCTCCGCCATGATAGCTTTTATCTTGATATATGGTTGTGCCTCGATAAGGTGCTTAATGGTTCTTGCCACTTTTTTTGCTTTCAGTTGCCGGTGATCCTGTGAAAGTATGGTTGAGGAGCAACTGTGGTTGTTCTCTACTGTCCGCATGACCCAGACCCCCTTTCTCTTCATATATGCAGCACGAAGTTGCCACATACAACCCTCTCCAGCATTCTTACAAATGACATGCAGTTGTCCCTTGTCAGAATATTTTACCTTCCATTCGAAATTACGCCGCATGGCTTCTTCTCTAAAAGCGTCTTGCACATCGGCTTTCGAAGTGAACGCCATACCCACTTCCAAATTAGCAGTCGGATTATACACAGGCATGGGCCGAAAGTCAGGGGCATCGTTCTGACCATATAAAAATTGATCAGGAACCTCTGTGTAGTAAGGCGTTGGTGCCTGTCGGAATGCCACCTCACTGTCATCGATATCGTCGTTATCGTCCGTATCTTCCTCCTCACTGACTGATCTCAAATCTTCCTCACTTTCATCGTCACTGGAGGCGAATGGATAGCTCGGCGAAGGATGGTCATCGTTACCAGCATAACCAGCATCGCCTTCTTGGTCATGCGAAGTACGCCCAGATCGAAGGGTGTTTTCAATGTCACCCCACTCTGGACCCCAAGCAGGCCATTGATCACCGTCGGGCTGAACGATATCGACGACATTCTCACCACCATGTGGCAGGTATTCTTCCCACCCAACACCTCCATCAGAACTACCTCCTCCGTAGTTGCTTGAAGTACCTCCCCAACCATACCCTCCGGCAGAAGAACCTGCTCCGTAGTTACTTGAACTACCACCCCAGCCATACCCTCCTGCAAAACCATCATCATAAAAATACTGGTGAGAATGAGTTTCACCGACCGACTCGGTCTCGACATACACCTCTGCAAGCCGCACCCCGTTCTCAGATATGAACTGTATCATCATGTTCGCGTCGTCATCATCGTTTATGTCAACTTTTTCGTACATGACTCCGTCAGCACTCATGTTGGGATACCGGTAAGTAATTTGACGAACTCTCATTTGCCCGCCCGTACAAGTCCTTTATGCACACCTGTCATGGAGTTCTTGCCACGAGAATCTCGACTCAATTGTAAGCATACTGGATTCGCCATCTTCATAGTCGATCCCAATGTTCGAGTTTGTCACCCGACCATTCCAATAAATAATAAGCCGAAACTTCTTAAATTTACCCATGTCTGCAATTTATAATAATTAAGTATAGTATATAATTAGTACATTATGGATACAAAAACAATATCATCCAAAGCGATAATAAAATGCAACTAATTGATCTATTATGAGAAAACTAAACAAATTCATCTAAATTCATAACTAACTAACATCTATCATATCATAATTAAACTAAATAATATCATAACATATTTTCCAATAACCGCAATTCACTAAATACAGACATATAATTACTAACACATCAACATGTAAAAAATACATACTTATAACATACTCAATCCCGATCTATCATGAGAAAACTAAACAAATTAATCTAAATTCAGTACTAACTAACTAACATATATCATATCATAATTAATCTAAATATATAATTCTAACATACCTAATTCTAACACATAATCAAAATGTAAACAATACATAATTCTAACATACCGAATCCCGACGAGTTTCTTGAGCAGTAAACTACGGAGGAACCAGCTGCGAAAACGACTTAACAAAACGATAATTTTTGTACTAATTTGCTGTTTGGCAGCAGGAGGGAAGTGGGCGTGGGTTTTTATAGGAAAAATTGAGAGCTAATCACCGCTTTGGACCACGGCGGTGAACACATCATCGCCTTAGTCAACAGCGGTGATAGCTAGGTAGCTGTTACCTACTTCTCCACCTACCAGGGACTATGTAAAACGTGGTGGCAATCACTGTTGTCGACAGCAGCGGGGATGCCTTCACTGTTGATGTCAAAAGCGGGGATACATTCCCCGCCTTTGTCAAAAGCGGGGATACGATCTCCGCCTTCGTCCAAAGCGGTGATATGTTCCCCGCTTTTGTCCAAGGCGGTGATGCATTCCCCGCTTTCGTCCAAGGCGGTGATGCGTTCCCCGCTGCTTCACTGTTTTGGACGAAAGCGGTGATCAACATCACTGTCTTAGACAAAGACAGTGATGTTGAAACTGCTGTACTTTGGGAATTACTTTTATAAGTACTGTATTTAGGGAATTTTTTTTAATAACTCGAGTATTCTGGGATTTTTTCCGTTATTTCTAGGGTATAAAGTGGTTGCTTATTGGGCTCAATTTCGTGTTAATTAAGCCCATACCAAGAGAAGCTCGTTTAGCTGTAAATAGACGACCATATCATCTTCTTCTTTTGGGCTTCTTCCTCCTTTCTCTTTTCACATCTTTTATTTCCTGTTCAAATCACTGAACTTGCCTAGAAAGGAGTTCACACAAACTTACACAAAATCCTATGTTGAACTACTTCTCATCCAACTACCACTAATACCAAAAATACCATAAAATAAAGGGTAAATACAATTTAATATCCAAACCTTTCATTTTAAACAATATAATAACCAAACCTTTTCGAAAACAATCTAATATCCAAATCGTCAACTTTCCGTTCGTTTGACCGTTAGTTGACACTTCAAAAAAGCTTTGTTTAGGGGAAATTGTCACAATACAACTTTGTTTCTTGTTTTGGCATTGCAGATGACTGAATATTTAGATATTCTATACCATCATGGTGGAGTCATGGACTTCTCGGGTTTGGAACTACGATATGTTGGTGGTTTTTCAGAGAAGATATTGATGAAGTGTCGTACTTCGAACTTTTTTGAAGTGTCAACTAACAGTCAAACAGACAGAAAGTTGACGATTTGGATATTAGATTGTTTTCGAAAAGGTTTGGCTATTATATTGTTTAAAATAAAAGGTTTGGATATTAAATTGTATTTACCCATAAAATAAATTACTTTTAAAATTACGTACGTGCAAGTACGCAAGAATTTCAAATTCTCGTTCTTGCTATTTATTAATTTAGTAAAATAAACAGAAACACATGACATGAGCATATACTGGAGACAGAATTAAGTACATTTAGGCTAATTTTTCATTGCCCTGAGGGGTTTCGCGAGCTTCCGCTGTTTTACTAGTTGATTGACGACGAGGAAGAATTGTAGACTCAATGTAGGATGAGACCTCTTCTTCCATGGCTTGTACCTATGACAAAATTACCAAAACAACCAACAATATACGTTAATTTACCAAAGGCAAACCTCACTTTCTTCTTTCTCATATGCATATTTACAATTTACAGTACTATTTGCTAACAACCATGGTTAGACGCAGAAATTCAAACCAACAGCATGTTAATTTTTTTTAGCATATTTAAGAACATTAAACGTTAAGAGAAAAGAAAGATGAGTTCATCAATAACAAACTGACATATTATTAGATGGTTGGAATTTTTGCGTCCTATCAAAATTGGAGCTAAAAATTTTCCATTATTAATTAATTGATGCGATGGGAGAGCACATGGTGTGATTCTTAGTCATCAAGAATAAGAATCAAATACGAACGAGGGGTTAGTTATAATTAAGGAAAGACAAAAAAAAAGAGATTTAAATTAAAAAAAAAAAAACCTTGTCAATGACTTCGCCGGCGAATTCGGCCGCCTTCTCCGTCCGATCCGCCGCCACTTCAATGAAGTCGGTCACATTTCTCAGAGGACCGTCCGGCAAGGTGTTGCCTATCTCGTCGGCCACCCTCTCCACCTCCTCCGCAACTTCTTCCACGACGTGGGTTATGATCTCCACCGTCCCCACCGTCGCGTTGAACTTATCTGTATCCATATTTCCATAATTGAATAATTAACAGAGAAAACAAGAGATAATAATATTCAAATTAATCATGGATTAATCGTAATTAATTTCGTTTAGCTTTAGCCCCTCCTCACCCTTGAGTCCCTTGAGCGACAAAAGTTTGCTCCGGCACGACGGTATAGCGATCGACAGCACCACTCCCACCAACCAAGCATTCCTGCGGTATAAAAACCATTTTAGAATTTCGGCCGAATTCGAGTACTATAGCACGGTTCAGTGGCGGAGTCACGTTGTATTCAAAGACGATATAACCTAGTATGTAATAAAAAAGTTGTAACGAAAAAGAAAAATAAACTAGTTAGTAAGACTCTAATTCGGTTTCCTCGATGATTCTCGTTCAAATTTCTCAAACATAAATTTTTTCACTCTGACTTCGTCCCTGCGAGTTGTTTAGTGCACTTACCGGGAGCCAGTATTCTTGGAAGGAATGTTGGGCGGCGGCGGGACGGCGGCCTGGTCGTTGCCGCCGCTACTTGACACGTGGATCTTTGTCGTCGTCGTCGTGTGCCGGCGACTGGGATTCCGGGGAGAGGTTCCGATCGACGAGACTCTGCCGGTGAGGGATAATTGAAAGCTTCTGTGGGGATCGGCGGCGGCCGCATGAAGGAGACTGAAGTTGTGGGAGGAAACTGCCATTTGGGAGAGGAGAGGATGTTGATTTTGGATCACGGCGGCAGTCAACGCCTATGTAAAATGGCGGAAGCGAGGGGGAAGAAGACCAGAAGTGAGATGACCGGATTTGAGAAGGAAGACACTTAATGTAAATAATTGTTTAACTATGAGGAGATTGAAGTGACAGATAATTAAGATTAGTACGGGACAGCTCGATCGAGAGCAACATGGGCGGGCTGACACAGACTTTTAATTAGTTTATTTTAATTAATAAAGAATGACTCGTTTCATCAACGTGGTTACATATTTTAATTTACTGCGACCGTTCAAAGAAAGAAAAACGTAACTGAGGGGCCAGTTAGTTAACTTACTCTTCCATTGATCATTAGTGGCTGCCTGCCTAGGTCAAAATAAAAACAGATTTATGTTATGCACAACTTACACATTCCTAATCTGGATTTCTATTTGACGCCCTAGCTTTTTAAATTTATCGCCCTAAGCCCTACTCAAATGACCTTTTTGCCCCTTGGCCCTAACAGAACCCAAAACGTATCTTTCCCCTGTCGAACTCCCCTCCCCTTCCCCCCAACTCCTCAGCCGCCGCCCAGCTAGCTAACGCCCTAAACAAATCCCCACCCAAAACTACACCCGCCGCTACTTTTATGTTGCCGAACAATAAACCCTCACCCATCAACCAATCATCATCGTCAATCACCCACCAAACCCGACCCCCGCAGTCGAGCCAAGGAGGAAGACGAGCGTTGGCGTTGCTGCCCTGCTGCTGCCGAGTCAACTAGGAAGGAGAATCCACATCCTTTGCCGCCAACTCCATCGGATCCTTCATTGATCACCAAAATAGGGAAAAAGGATTAATTACAATTAATTAAGCATAATTAATGTGATAATTAGTAACTATTAATACCTTGTTGATTATGATGGTGGTGGTGGTGGTGCGGAAGCGGCGGAGTGGTAGAGGCGGGAGGAGGCGGAGGACCTCTGTTGGCGGCCAGCACCGGCGGATGAAGAATCAATTAATGGGGGGAATTGAAGGGGAGTGGATTGGGGATTGCCAGTGAGCTTGTCGGAGATTATGACGGCTCCATTATCTGTCCAGTGAGCAGGGTAGGTGGCCATGGGAATTTTTTTTGAACCAACGCATAAGAAGGGTATGAATGTGATTTCACCAGTAGTTAGGGCGATTTTTTTGAATTCTTAGGGCGGTGAATAGTACTTCTCCTTTCTAATTGGCATGTACATTTATAAAACCAAACCCAATTACACAAATGATTTTGGATTCTTTTAAATTTTTTTTTATATTTTCCACCTATTACTATTTATTTTTCTCATTTTGAATAAAAAAAATTGCAAAATGAATATCTGGTCCCCTTTATTTTTTTAATTTTCAATTTTTTTATTTAAAATAAAAAATTTGTAATAGGTGGAAAATTTAAAAATTTCTAAGTGAAAGGTGCTGACTTGGCAGTAACGTGGCGCTTTGAGCGTTTGTGAATGCGTTTGACCGTCAAAGATAACGGTTCATTTTCGGGTTTGGCCAATTTCGTTACTTTTGTGTATAGTTCAGGCCATGATGGTATAGATCGAAAAACTTGGCCAGTATGTTTATTATGTGAAAAGTTCAGGCCATACAAATATATTAACCCTTCTTTTTATCATTTAATTCTTATGTTCATACATTTTTCAGCAAGAATGATTTCAAATCGAGCTCATCTTGAGCCGAGCTTGTACTTAGCTTGACAAGCTGTGTTAATGAGCAATTATCGAGCTCTTCTGAGTCGAACTCGAACTAGATTATTTTTATTCAAGCCGAGCTGGATTACCAAAATTCGAGTTCGAGTCAAGCTCGAGCTAAAAAATTTATAAACGAGCCAAGCTCAACCTAAGCAAAAATTCGACTCGACTCGGCTCATTTGCAGCTCTAAATTGAAACATATCAAACCGACCATACCCCATGTGCCTACTACAAGCTATAAAGAGAGGAATTCAAAATTGAAACCTGTAGAAAACATTGTATGTAAATTCTATCAACACAAAAAACCTGCAAATGCAATGTAACAATGCAAATAACTGGAAAACTGAACGAAAGAAGAACAAAATTTGGAACCCAAATAGTGGCTGAGCGTTTGTGCTTCAGATTCACTTTCTCATTTCCAACCAAAGTAGTTCTCTCACATTACATTAGAATGAGGAGACATTTACCTTTTAAAGGCTCAACCTCAAACCCTAGGTTGATCTGCTACCTCCAAAAACAAGAAGTCAAAAACTTAAAACCGATAAATTTAGTGGTGCGTTGTACTGTTGTGAGGCAAGTTCTCTCTTTCCAACTATAGGTTTCTAACATGTCTGATTATTCTAAACTGAATAAACACAAGGAGTTAGGCTACTAATTGGAGCAAACAGCAAAATAACTTATAATGCTTGTGCTTTCTGTGGTGGCAAGCAAACTCTGAGAACAGTTGTTCTTTTGGTTTTCCTATGCATATGTTGTGGTTACTAGGATATTTGTCAGGTTTTTTTTTAAGGAATGTACTAGTACTTAATTGGGAGGGTGCTCTAGATATGAATTTCTGTTATTGCTCGATCTAGTGCCCCCTAAGGGTCGAGTAAGCAGACTTTACAGCATTGGACAATAGGGTTTCTCTGGAAGGAGACATGCAACCGCTCGTTTGAATTCTCTAAACGAAGTGTATAGTTTGTGTTATTGCTCGTTTGTGTTATTGCTCGATCTAGTGCCCCTAAGGGTCGAGTAAGCAGACTTTACAGCATTGGACAGTAGGGTTTCTCTGGAAGGAGACATGCAACCGCTCGTTTGAATTCTCTAAACGAAGTGGGCTAGCAGGTATTGGGAATGTCGATTTTGCACAAGAATTGTATAGTTTGTCATTCTACTAAGTCGTGTTAGTACGCATCATTATTGCGTAGTTTAATTTGTAATTGGTTTGGTGGCTGTTGCCTTTGTATTACTTTCAATGCTTGATCTATTTGGTCAAATGTACTTAATAAGATTACCCAATTACCGGGGTAAAGAATTAAACGTACGTATACCACAGTGTGAATAGATTATAATTAATGAAACAATTTGCTTGTCAACTAATTATTCATAGATTATAATTAATGAAACAATTTGCTTGTCAACTAATTATTCATATACAAAATGGTTAATTAGGGAAATTCTGAAGGAGATCGGCCGGCTGAATTAGGCTGCTTGGTTTGGAGCAGAGTCTTTTGGCTGTGCAGCAGCAAGTTGTGGAATCTTTAGAGCTGAAGCTTCAATGTATTCTTCTACGTCTTCGCCAACCTCTTGCACCTATAAAAAAAAAATTCCAAGTAACAATTTTATAAGTATACAAATATATCCACCATCCCTAAAAAAAAACCCACCATAGGGAACTAAACAAACAAAAACAACTTGACATTTCTTTATAATTTTGTTCTTATGAAATGCAAGTGGCTTATGTATTTGCATGTTACATAATTAAGTTGTCCTGTCTCGTATTCGTCAGCTCTTGGCCAACTCTGAGCTACCTACTAATTACAGTCTTATAATTATTACTCTATTCTTGCAAGTTGCTTTGTTTTTTTAAATCGTGAATAATTATTTCTTGTTAGCCGCCGGTGCTTTTTTTGAGGTCATGGATGATATAATGATTACAAAATTACGATGCTAATTAATAAAATAAAGATAGTATTAATTAATGGAGCTCACCTTATCAATGACATCTCCGGCGAGTTCAGCGCTCTTTTCGGTCTTGTCAGCGACATCTTCGATCATTTCCAGCACCTCCTTCAGCCGGCCTTCCGGCAGGCCGTTCCCGATATCGTCGGCGACCTTCTCCACCTGCTCCGCCACGTCTTCCACGATGTCGGTGATCATCTCCACCGTCTCCACCACCGCGTCCACTCGGTCTTTCAGACTCTTTAGCGACCACATCTTGTTTCGAAACGACGGTAGAAGAATGGACAGCACCACTCCGACCAACCACATTTGCCTGTTTTCCACCAACGTTTGAATTAGACATGCCTAAATCGTAATTTAGTAACAATTAATTCTATATGTACGTATAATTAGCTTTCGTTAATTACCATGAACCGGAGGAAGGCGAAGACGGAGGCGAGGGAACTCCGGGGACCGCCGAGCTACGGACGGTCACGTTCCTCGACACGTGCAGCGTTCTGGGCTGGCCGTAGTGTTGCAGGGAGAGCCCCGAACATGACATGAAAGTCGGTGGTAGAGTATTTTGTGAGCTAATAAGAACGTTTCTGCGGTCATGAAGCCGAGATGTAATGCCAGAGACGACGTAGTAACGATGAGAAGGAAGTGATGATGTGGCGGCCAACATGATTAGGTGTGTAAATGTTTGACGGATTTGGAGAGTTTTGAAAGCACAGGTTGTGGCAGCTGAAATTAATAGTTTTAGGGAGATGAATTGGGAGAAAGAAGGGGGGAAGAGAGCAGCGTTGTTTTATAGCTAGGGGTTGAAAAGGAGTAGGGGAACTCTTCAACTAATTAACGCAACTTTTGGCATTGTTAATTTGTCAATACATGGAAGGTTCATGTGGGTTTTCCACGCGGGGGGAGGGAGCTTCGAAATGTTTTTTTTCTTTTTTACACTCTAATGGAGAAGTCGTTAAACTTGACAGGTCTTCCTCTGCACATGGTGATTTTGATATTAAAATTCGTGATCAAGATGATGGACATATTTAATTTGGCCCTATTCCACCTAATTCACCATTGAAATCTGTCATTCAAACTCTACCCAAAAGCTTACTCATAACTACTAATATATATATACATAATTAGAAATTGTTAATGCTTAGTACTTAGTAGTTAGTAGATTATTGGACAGACTAATCAACGACCGGCTTATTTCAAACATGTGATCGAAGCTGGCGCTACATATGCTCAAAAATCAATTATTTCCTAATCACTAATCCAAAGTCATCCTTGTTATTCTAAGCAACTCCTAACCAAAATTATTTCTAACCAAAAACTACTCAAATGAAATATGGCGTTACATCCTCATAGATTGCGGTTTTCCGTTCGTATGAAAGGAAATGCGCGTATTTCACTTTTATATACATATTAGGATTTAGGAGTTACACTCGCACTTCGTCGTGGTGTATTATAGTTGGTTTAGACGGGTTAGACTGGATGGAGAGTTTTTCGAATGAATTCCAGATTAGATAGATTAAGTACACAAATGATATCATATCAATTTAAACAATTAGATGTAATTTTTTAAAATGTTTATTTGATTACCATATTTTTTTCAAAGTTCAAATATGAATATGCACTAAAAGCACGTAGAATAGCAGGCAATGGTGAGTCTCCGACTCCAACTACATCAATGTTCTTGAAAATAGATGTGCATCGAAAAAAACATATGAAATGGGCCGATACAGAATTTTTTATCAAATATAATGGTGTGGACCAAACTGTGCGATCCGGTTTAGACCATAACTTTTAAGACGGTCTGGTCTATTTTCCCAGTCCTAGAAGAACTATATCTATATGTGGAATTTCTAAAACTTAACTGAATTGAGTTCAAAATGCAATTATTTCTCACTCCCCCAAACTTCCTATGCTAACACCCTCATAAAAGGAGTGAAAGTGGTATTTGCAGAGAGAGTCATCCAAGCCTTCATCAAGTATCGGATAGAGCAGAGCATAGGGACAATAATGTTGATTCTACCCAAAATTTATGTTCATAATGTGCCTGATGCACTATTTTGAACTTTTGGTCCACCAAATTTTGCCATTTTGGATTTGAGCTCCAAACTTCATTTTTTAATTTCAATAACTAGGCATTGATTTCTCCCACTCGTACAAGGTGGTCTGCTAGAATACTTTGCCCTGAAAGCTCATAGAATACTATCCAAATGGCATCAAGATAGTAAAAGTAGTCCTAGGAGCTAGGAAACGCACATTATTGGAACAATTATCAAACAATTTCAAACTATTATGACAATAAAGATATGAACACCATGCAGAACATGCCATTAAATAAGGTATAAAGGGATGACAATGGGTCGGGTTGGATTTTGTCAAACCCATGGTTTATCCGTGAAAAAAACCCGGGGTAAATCCGACTGGGTTTGAAAAACTCAAACCCAACCCACCTCGTTGGGTATCCGCGGGTTCATGGGTACCCATGGGTTTTTGTGGTAAAAAATTTAGAATAACAAGTTCCAATCAAAATTAAAGTCAAATAACAATATCTCAATACAAATTATCCATATATAAAATATCATTCTATAAAATTCAAGCAAATCACAATTTAACTATACAAATTGTTCAACACCAATCTAGACAACTCAAGAAGATTGAAGCAAATCACAAATTATCCATAAATAACATGATTAATTGAAAGCTTCTTTTTCCTTGTCAATTAAGTTTTTTCACTCTCCACTCGATAAATCAACTTCATTATACACACTTAGAAATAGAAAATTAGACATGTCTCCACAAATATAAATAAGATTAGTTGTTTAGAATATTAAATATATTGAGAAAATTAATTATATGGGTGTGGGCTGGTACCCATGAGGCGGGTTTACCTAAACCCAACCCGGTGAATAGTGAACGGGTTTAAACCCAAAACCCGTCAACATGGGTACCCGTGGGTTCTGGTTTTGTTGCGTATAAAGTAGTATAAATTTATGCGTTATCAGTGGTTCCAAAAGTGTAGATCCCTTTTCCAAATCGGTTTAGGTCGCTTCCTTGACTTGCTCTTCATATTTCCAAGGCCCTAAGGCAGAGGCAGTCATGACAACGATTTGGACCGCCTTAGGGTTTTTTTAGATGAACTTGGCCCAATAGATCGTTTCTTCATCCATATGACTTCTTGCGAAATTTGGGTGATTGAGGTACTGACGATTTGGGCGACATTTAGTGTCACCTCCCTCGTTTGTTTTCTGAGCTTGCTTGATTAAGGTCCATCTTCACTTCATAATTCTTCCTATTTGTACTTGTATATATATGAATTTCATGAAAAACTACACTAAAGGGAATCAAAAGTATAGAAACACCTAAGGTCTATAAATTGAATTTTGGACGAATAGCTCTCTCATTTCAATAATAGAACATGTAGAAATGCACCGATGGGAGATGAATATTACCTATAACGAGGTAAACAAATATAGCACATTCAAGGGTCGTCAAATTGCTTCAAACTTTAGACTTGTTTATCGACAAGCAAGGACCGACCATATAGTCGTACTACACATTAAACTCCATATATGAAGCTTGACTTCGATGTTAGGTAGTAGATCATGAGCAACTTACAAGGCATCAACTAGACAAGATAACTTGACCACGTCAATGAGCTATAATCTCGTGAGAACAGTCTGACACTTTCACATCAATCGAAAAAAAAAGGACAACCAAGCACAAGATTCTGAAAACATGTAGGGTCTAGCTTTTGGAAACTTGATTTTTCTTTCAAATACTTCTACCTCTCTACAACGGCAATTTCTCTTTTTATTTTTCTTGCATACCTAGTACGTAAGAGCAATTTCTGTCAAATTTTCCTCCACATAAATGCTTCTTTTAATTCATTCTCCTCAATTCGTGTGTAGACTCCATAATTAACATAATATTGTATTGACATTTCATTCAACGAGGAACTGTAACTAAGAAACAACGAGTTGTTTCGAACCAATGAAGGATTACCTTGGACATTGTGGCATTTACATTGCTATTTATTTTCAAAATCCATCTCATTTGGCACATTGTGGCATATTACACAAAACCATTCCCCGAAATCATTATTTATATTCAATATTTGGATAAATACAGACCTCCAAAGTCTCCAACCAATGTGCATACTACTCAGCCATATATACAAATAAAATTACCTAATCAATAAATGAAATAATAATAATTTCTAATGAATATAACATATCATTCTATAAACAATTAGTTTCGATTGTCCACTGGTAGCTATAGCTTCATAACTTTCCATACTAAGACCTAGACTTGGTTTCTTCCACCACGGCAGCCACCGCCACCTGATCTTCAGCCTTGGTGCCGCCGCCGGCGGCCAATTGATCGTTGATTCTCGGTTTCACTTCTTCATTGATCTTCCTTTTCAACTCCTTCGCCACCTTAGCGTGTTCGTCGTCATCATCAGTGGCTTCAATGTAAGCGTCTAGTTGATCCTCAAGTTCTTGTACCTATAATTACGTTCAAGTTCAAACCATTAAGTTATCACGTTAATTAGTCAAGATTGTGTTTTTTTGGTCAAGATTCGAAAGGAAGGATAAAAATTGATAAACTAAAGTTAACCCACGTAACTAATCCTAATCCACGGCCAGATTAAGCGAATTTAAGCAAGTTGATTAGTCAATAAGCACATTTTTCAACTAGGACCAAGGCAATCGTACCTGGTCATCAGCGTGTGCCAACTTGACCTTTTTAATTAACCAATTACGTACGCAATTATATATAATTTACCTCCCTGGATTAGATTTTTAATTGATTAAGAATCATGCAAATGGACACTGGTCAACATTTTAAATCAACCCATTTGACATTCTTAATGTTCATTTCCAAAACGACGACCGACTAATGCAGTAGGTTACCTTATCAATGACATCTCCGGCGAGCTCAGCGCTCTTCTCCGTCTGATCGGCAAAATCCTCGATGCGCTGGAATGCATCCTTGAGCTTGCCGGCGGGCAAGTTATTCCCTACGCCGTCGGCCACCTTCTCGACTTGCTCCGCCACGTCTTCCACTATGTCCGCTACTTTCTCCACCGTGTTCACTATCTCATCAAATCTCTCTGCATACCCTTGAAGGAAATTTTCAGTTGCTTAATTTTTTTCTTCTGTTGTAAAGCTTAAAAACACAATTTTGACAAGAAAGAAAGAAACAAAATATTGATATATAGAAATAAAACTCTACCTTTTACATTCGACCATAGTTGTTTCCTCCAAAAGGGTACTACAAGCGCCACCGCCACACCCACAAGCCACAGTTTCCTGCGCGTAAATGATTCCCAATTGAAATTCGTTCAATAACTCGATTTATTGGGACCAACTGGTTTTTCAGCGGATAAAGGTCGATGAAGACATTACCAGGAACCCGGACCAGAACCAGGGTTAGAAGGGAGACCGGGAAGAGGCGGGAAGGGCAACCCGCCGTTATTGCAATTGACACTCATGTTTCTACGAGACCTACAAACCCACATGCATAAAAAAAAAACACGTTCAACACAACGAGGGAGAGAAAGGAAGAAAAAAAAAAAAAACAAACAAGAAGAAGAAGATGGACCTAAAAACAATTTGTGCATACGTTTTTAAGTTTTGCATCGTCTTTGTGTTGCATGGTGCGTTGAGATGGAACTGGATCTTTGTTGGCCGGCCAACTGAGGCGATGCTGCATGGAACGGCGCCGTATAGAGCAGTCAAGGAGCCCATTGCTCTACGTGCTAACATATGTGTTTCAAGAGCTAAGCTAGGCGAGAGAGATTTTGTATTATTCTTGTACTTTGTAAAGAGGAGATGGTTATTGTAGAAAGGAAATCAGGATGGTGAGATGTTGATTATAAGGAGCTGTAAATCGATCAAGTATTTATAGTAAATGTTTTAAGAGGGAAACTTGGGGAATGGGTTTTGTTTGGTGAATAAACCAAATGAACCAAGAGGGAGGGGTTTTGAATGCAGAAAAAATTCCACATACGCAACTCTGCAATTTGTTTCGATCTGTAAGCAGGTTGAATTTTCCTGGTTATGTAACAATTGGAGTTACGTTTGCTTGGTCCTTCAAGAATACCGATTAAGAGAATGTCAAACCTATGTTAGGGCACGTGTTTCTTTAATGGGTAAATTACAAATGTCAAATGTCAAATGGGTATGACTTTTCCACGGACTACTTTTCTTTTTATATATTAATCGCGCAAGGAGAATTCTTGTTTGCTCTACTCGGCTTTGTATACATTCGCTGCACGAGTACTGAACCGATAATACAAATTGATCGCTATCTATGGAAAACTTGCAAAAGAGAGAAACGGGAAATTGCTACGTACTGTGGGTAAAGAGTATAAACCCATCGATACGTCTTTACTTAATTACTATAAAAAACTTTTAGGGTAAATACAATATATTATCCATAACTATTAAGTAGCGGGGAATTATAGCCACAACTATCGAAATACAAATTACTAGCCATAACTATTATTGTGGGTCAAGATTTGGCTAACAGCCCGTTACTGTTTTCAAATTTTTAACGTAGAAGGCCATGTCAGCATCGTAAAAAATATGATATGATGACTGCCACGTGGGAGCCAGCTCACCATCGTAAAAGCTTAGTCATCATTACTAACAAAAGTGTTAACAAAAACTTAACGATTGGCTAATAATTTGTATTTCGATAGTTGTGGCTATAATTCCCCGCTACTTGATAGTTATGACTAATATATTGTATTTGCCCAAACTTTTACTAAGCCCATCAAAAGTGTGCATATTCGGAAATGGCTGGCCGCTGTTTTGTCGTGATGTGGTTCGTCTTATCTTGCCAGCAACGTTGATGACAATGCCAGCGCCAATAAGAAGAGAGATACAGACATTGCCAAATTGGAAGGTGAGTGTACAGCGAATGGTTCAATTTTTGCGTTTGAGTCGGATATTCATTTCGGACAATGGTTCAAAAAAAAAAAAAAAATTCATGTTAAGAACATATGGCAAACGCATTATAGCGAAGAGCTGCAAAAAAGAGAGAATCGATCAAATTTTTTTTTAATGAATAAGTTAGTCTTATTCATCAAGAAAGAATGGTTTGTCCTTAAAAACACACTCACATTACATTAGAAACAAAAGTGCAGAGAACAAAGCTCAACTTTGCTAACTACCATACAAAAACAAAGGCAAAATCAACCACATTCTTCCTTCTAACACTTAACCACACAAACTAGCTATTTATATCACTATCCGAAATGATCCATGGATGCCACTTGTGCATAACCATTTGTCAAAATCGGGCTGCTCAATTAGTACGATATTGTCCGTTTTGCGTCAAGCCCGCACGGTTTTACTTTTGGGTATCCTCCCCAAAAGACCGCGTACTAATTTGGCTAGGTGGACGCTAATATACAATGGTTTTTTTTCCTTTGTATCTCCGATGTGGTACTTCAATGATCCCATAACAATCCTCCTCTCAAGACAAAGACCATGTATATCGTGTTCACTCCTCAGCGATTATCTTGATCCACCAGACACCTTGTATCAATGGGCTTCTCGATACAAGGATTTTCCCAGAGGCAGAACTCTCTTTGATATTCTTTCCAAATGAAGAGCTTTCTTGATCCGCCAAAAAAATGTGGATCTCTCCTGGATCCACCAGACAAACGCAGATCTCAAATCCCGAGGTCACCAAATGAGGGTCCCACCATACTAACGTCCACCGCCCCGAATCCACCAAACCAGACTTTGATTCCACTTGTTAAATCTGGATAGCTCCATTAGTACGATACTGTCCGCTTCGCAAGAAGCCTCGTACAAATTGGGCTAGGTGGACACTTATATACAAGAGTCTCTTCCCTTGTATAACCGATGTGGTACTTAGATTGTCTCATAACACCATTCCTTAACAACTTTAACAGGGCCTGAATCTTCTGCAAAAACTTTACTTAAGATAGACTTTTCCCAGCATAAACTCTTATGCATCTCTCCCACCATATTTCACTGATTATGGCCCTCTAGATCAACCGCCCTCTTACTGGAGTTTGGTTCCCACCTACAAATAGAGAAGTTGCTAATGCTAGAACTCTGACCAGCAGCTCCCTATTAGTGCGAAAGACTGGAAAATAGCTTTCATGAGACTCAGCGAGTAAGGGAAGCTAAAGAACAAACGATCCCTAGATTCTTCAGCAGTCAAACAGAGAGCACACTTTAATCTTGTTAAAAGTAGCAATCATATTGAGGATAAACAACCAAGCAATTACCTTGCCTTTAGGAGTGCAATAAGACTGTCAAACCAAGTTGTACCATGGAACTGCTTCATTCTTTGGTTGGACAGACTCCTATACCCCTTTTACAGAAATTACTAACATAAGACCATCATCCCATAACAAACCACCAGACCTAGTATGGAGATGCCCCTCGGCTAGATGCTTAGAGTTTAGGACTTTCCTCAATTCCCATGAACAAGTTATGCTTGTTGGGATGTCTCGGATGGATGTGTAACTCAACTGATAGCTCCTAACTCAATTTTTGCAGAGTTCCAGCTTTGCAGGTCTTTATAGCCCAATCCCCTTTCTTTTTTAGGTTGAGCAACAAACTTCCAAATGATATTAGCCTTTTCCCTTCTTCCTCTGAGTTCCATAAGAAATCTGAGCATATTTTTTTCTACCATTTGATTACCTTTACTGGGAGCTGTATGATGCTCATCCAGTATTGAGCTATATTGGAGATCACTACTGACACCAATTGTAGTTTACCAATAAAGCTTTGCAGTCTCTAGAGTTCAGTTTGCCAGCAACTAAAGGTATTCCAAGATACCTTATGGGAAGTGTGCCTACTGGAAATCTAGTTCCCTGAGAATTGAGTTGTTGTGTACTCTTATCAACTCCAACACAAAATACTTTGCTTTTGTGGGATTACGCTTGAACCTAGAAACTTCGTAGAAAATATCTAGGATCCTCTTAGCAACCTACACAGGCTCATAGGTACCTTTAGTAAAGATCAATAAATTGTCTGTGAAGCATAAATGTGATTATCCCATCCTATGGGTTTGGAGTGAGGAGGGAACTTTTTAAGGAAAGCTGCTCTGTTAATTATGAAGGATAAAATTTCCTTGGATATGGTGAAGAGATAAGGATACAAACGGTCTCATTATCTCAACTCATTCTTGGCAAGTAACCACATAGTCCTCCATTAAAGCATACACTAAGTTTGGTATTAGTAAGACAGATCTTAATCAAACCAATAAACTGTCAAGAGAACTTCATTGCTATCAACACAGACTCCAAAAAAACCCAATCTACACTATCAAACGCCTTCATGACATCCACTTTAAGTGCACATCTTGGGGAAACGGTTTTATGATTATAGTTTTACCATTTCATGAGCCAACATAATATTATCACTTATTAGTCTATCTTTTAGGAAGGCAGACTAATTCAGACTAATGAATAGAGGCAAGACTTCTTTTATCCTATTTGCTAAGCCTTAAGTGATACACTTTCAAAGGATGTTGCAGCAGGATATAGGTCAAAATTGTCTCATAGTCTCAGCATTCAAAGCATTAGGAATAAGTGCTAAAGTATGTAGATTTACCTCTAATAGTAGTCGATTAGAATAGAAGAAGTCTTGCACTACCCTGACTACATCCTCACAAAAAAAATTCCCAGTTATATTGAAAAACCCTTATGTGAATCCGTCGGGTTCGAGTGACTTATCATCTTTCATGGAGAACATAGCAATCTTTACTTCCTCTCTAGATACTGGATCACAGAGTAGACCAAATTTTTTTGCCGGTAGGTGATGTATAAGCAGTTGTGAGATAAGAACATCATCCACCTTTTCACCTCTGAATTCGCAGTTACAGTCCTTTGTAAAATTAACCGATTCCTTGCTCCTGGTTTTTTAATTCTATTTATAGGCCTAAATCACTATCCTCTTCTTCTGCAGAAAGTTATGGAAAACTTTGGTGTTTAATTCTCCATTCTAAATCCATAATAGTCTAGTTTCTGCCTACAAAGGTATTCTTCTTCATGTAGCACTGGATTGAGCCTATCCTGACTGTCATTTATAGCTTGGAAAGTGATAGGAGATGGTAGGATCAAAGAGTTGTAATCCTTCAAGCTGTCTTCTGTTTTTTGCTACTCTTTTTTATATGTCTGAGAAATAGGATCTATTAAAGGACTTTAGATGCTTCTTGACTTCTCTTAGTTTTTAACAGACCATGTACTTAGGAATGAGTCTGGGAATGAGTCTGCCAATAGTTAAAGTACTATTAAAAGGCTTTGGGAGCTTATCATTCTATGATTCCGTCCTTACCAACATCCCACAGTGATCAGACAATCCTGGGATAAGGAGTTGAACTATGTAACTCTGATGTCGAGTTAGAAGGTTCCCTTTTTTTCAATAAAATCGGGGCCCGTCAAATTTGCTATCCTCCAATTCCATATCTTCAATCCATTTAACAAAAAATTTCATACTCAGCGTTTAGCCTTCTCGGAGGTCTTTGATGGCACTGAAGTCGCCAAGAACAAGCCAAGGGTTAATGTCTGGATTTAGGGGAGATCTTTGGTACATTTTGAGCCTCTCACCATCATCATTTGAACCATATACAAAAGTAATTTTTGTAGCTTCTTGACCTCTTACTTCCGGCGGAGTTGAACACAACACTGACTTCGGCCAGGTTCTTCTATCAATCTCCTGACCTATGCTTAACTCCTTGCTCCGTAAACGGGTCACTGATTGATCTGATCGGACCCCTTTGGACTGTCATGGCTACCCCTTCACTCGACATAGGCTCCATGGATAAACTGGTCAGTTTTTTCCAATACCACAAAGTTCAACTCCTTATTCCAGAAAACTCGTACACGACCCAGATTAGAGTGCTCATAGTTATGAGAAAATTCTCACAAGCAAAATCCGTACTGACTGTCTCTTTTGATTTTCCTTCTTTTACCCTTGTTTTAATAACACAAAAATATCTACTTTGAATCTATACACAACATCCAATACTTGCTTCTGCTTGTGGGGGTGATTAAATTCCCTCGTGTTCCAAACAAGAACATTAATCGCTTATTTTTTGGGTTTGCATGCCTCCTAGGCTTTTTCTTACCTTGCTTCCTTTTACCCTTTCCACCGTCACCAATATGTCATTAGTTGCAAGGGTTTGAAACTGGTTCTTCATTGATGTTATACCAGTTATTTCCTTTCCATTATTACCAGCGATAACAGCTTGAACTCATTTTCAGTAAGCAGCTGAACCTTTGCATCTACATTGGTACTCTGCCAATAAGTCATTAAAAGAGCAAGGCCCAAACGAGATTGGAGGCTCAATAGGGAAAATCAATGGGATAGCTCCAAGAAAGATTTTTAAGGCCTAAATGAGTCGGTGCTTATGGATGAATTCTTGTACAAGAAAGCATCTTTAATATCCTTAACCCACGGGAGTGTGAGGCCAGTAAAGGAGGAAGATTTGGAGGGTGAGTTCGGCAAGGAAGCGAGAAGTGGGTGCCCAAATTTGTTAGCTCTTGACAGGTCTGTGAGGGGCGTCGCTAGAAGAACTGTGCGACTACTCGTACCAGATTGGAGGAAAAGGAAGCGCAAGAAGCCGAAGAGTCAGCGCCTGTATTGCACAAAAAAGGTGAAGGAATGGGTGCAATTGGTCAACCTTGAGAGCAATAAGGTTGGTCTTAAGTGAGGAAGGGTATGACAAAAACACGATTTATTAAGGAAATTGGGGTTCTATCCCATTTATTATTATTATTATTATTATCATTATTAGGATTATTATCGATATATAGCTAGTAGTCTTTTAGTAGAATTAGTTTATTTATTAGGTTTTCATATTCCGCTATAAATATGTACTTGGCAATATTTATTCAGAATCAATCAAGAATCAATTAGCACAATATCCCCTTAAATCCTAATCTATCTTCTCTCATTCTTCCTTATTCTACCCTAGTTCTTCCTCAATTCTTTTCTAAATCTCTAAATTGCTACTGTTTGAGCCTAGTTCACGCCTTACCCCCAGACCGCATTGCTTGACTCGATTGTCCTTCTTTTCCTGGGCGCCACGCTTGTGTCCCCCTCAATGGAGCGCCTGGACCCTGCACGAAGAGGCGCACCGCGAACCTTGAAGGTTCGTTAGGCCCATTGTCATTCCCCAACAACTACCATTTCCCGATTTCACCAATCCGATCGATAGAATCCTATAAATAGGTTTCTATCACAATCAACATTATTAGATGACATTATTAATTAAATAAGTCCAATTTGTGAGGCGGGCAGGCGAATATATTGCCAGCAATATTCATCACACTCATCACCAATTCTGCAGGGACTGGAAAAGGAACAAACAATTAGCACCATGTTCCGTCAACGGTCTTATTTCAGTTGGCGGAACAATACACTCGATTCATTGTAGAAGACCCCACCGATGGAACCCTAGATCTCGAACTGAGAAGAACAATGGGTGAAAGGAAATTATTTTTCAGGGGTTAATTGCAAAGATGGTCACTCGGTTTAATAAAACCGTTCATGTTTGGTCACTGCAAATATTTAATTCCATTCATGATCACTAAGATTAGTTCAAAAGTTCAAGTTTGGTCACTCTCCGTTAATTTTTGCTGATGTGGCAGTCAACTATTATAGTTGACCGTTAAATGAGTGACGTGGCCATTAAAATAATAATAAAATTTAAATATTTACAATTCCACCTCATTTTACAACTATTAAAAAATAAAAATAAAACTTCAACGCCGCTCAGGCAGTAATGGCAATTCGAAGCACATGCGCAGGTGGAGAACGAAATTTTTCGGAGTTTTGCTGGTCGGAGAGCTTCTGGAGGAACGACATCACGGCGGCATCTTTGGCGGCGGCGATGGACCGCTCCTGAGCAAGGATCTCGCGCTCCCGATTTATCCGGGACATTTCTTGCATTCGCCACGACTCCTCACGCGCCATTCGTTCGTGCTCCCGCTTCTCGATGGCTTCTAGAAACTTCCGCTGCATCTCTTCCTGCTTGTGGACCACTTCCGTCATCAGCCGCTCGAAGAAGTCCTTCCGCTTCCGCTTGTGCCGGCCGTCGGGGTGGAGCTCCACTTCGGACGATGTTGAAGACGAAGAGGAGGGCGAATTCGACATCAGATCTGTTGAAAAGGTGGAGAAAGAAGGAGGATAGAGAGGCTGGATCGTCGGTTGTGGAGCCGGCGTATAGGAAGGAGCGGTGATCGTAATTGGTGGTGCAACCACCGGCGGAGGAACAGTTGTCGATGGAACAGTTGTAATGTGATGAGCCATGGTGACGAAGGCGGCGGGCTGAGCCTGCGGTGGAGGAGGTGGATTGAAGGCTGGCATTGTCGTTGCGGCCGGATGCGGCGGTGGAGGAGTGGGAGTGGCTCCGGCGGGAGGCTGGGATTCGAAGGCGGCTAATTGCTCGAAGAAGCGATAGTTTTTGCCTTCCTGTTTGCTCGTACGGACATCCTTGGTGCGCTTGTGGTACTTGTACACATTCTCAAACTTCTCTTTGCATTTCTTGGCGCTTCGATGATATCCAAACTCGGCCAACTTCCTGGTAATCATAATTAAATCCCACCGTAATAAAAACAGTCGTGGGTAGGTAGATTGAGTGGAGGAAGAGGAAGAGGAAGATGAAGGAAATCATCAATGTTGTTTGTTACAGCATTCACCACCATCCACCATACCATCACCATTTATTCACCTGCACCAGACAACTGCAACAGTATACCCATGCTGCACCCATACTACTCCTGACAGCACCCATACTGTTCCAGGAACCACCATCACTTTCCAGCCTATCTTTGTATTGTTTAATGTCTTTCATTCTGTATAAGTAGAGTAGAAACCCTCTTGTACAATTTAAGCTTTCCATCAATAAAATCATCATACACAAATTCATCATAGTATCAGAGCTGGATTCTCAATCCAGTATCGAAAAGCCTAAAAAGAAGAAAAGGAAGAAACGATTCTAATGAGTTTCTAAATCATTCTTTCCAAACCTTCTGTATCTAAACTTCAACTTTCAGTCTACAAAGTTTTTTCTATACCTTCCAATTATGAGTGAGCATTCTCCAGGTTTCTCATCTCCAATCTTACACTTCCACCATCAATGATTCAGCCATTCGAGTCACCATTCTCTCTCAAGCTTCCGCTGTAAATCACACTATCAAATCCAGAGGAGGATTCTGGCTTCTACAGGAGTAGCAAAAGCACCGGAAGAAGCCATTGTTATGGATCCTCACACCAGTCGCCGCCATCGCCGTCAGCGTCCGCAGTACCTTCAACGTCGGCGTCAAAATAGTCGTGCCTAGTCACCAGCCAACTCTCACAGCAGTCGCCGGTATTGTCACTCGGTCATCTTCACCTCCAGCGCCATCCGTAATCGACGGCGCGTCCCAGCTCGTCGTCATCACAGTCGCCGGTGCCATAAGTTCCGGCGGCCCTATCATCTTCGCCATAAGCATCCCTGGCGACATTGATCCCTTTGTCATCTTCATTCTCTGTTTCAATCAGTCGTATCCGGCGTTAGATCCACCGCCGGAAGCGTTTGAGGAAGATCGAGATTCCCTCGTCATCGTCCTCCACCAACGGCGATCCCGCTCGTTCTCTGCTTCTCTGCCGGATGTGTCTCCGTCCGTCGGCATCCGTTGAAACTGTTGCCACGCCGCCGAGTCGCAATCGTCGCCGCCTCACAGTGCCACTGCCTTAGCAAAGGAAGGAAGGGAAGAAGCAGATCAGCGGGGCTCACCGCGATTTTCCCATTGCCGCCGCTATTGAGAGAAGCATAGGAGCAGTCTTTTTCATTGGCTTGCTCCCGGCGGTCTCGAGTTCATCGATCGTCGCCATCGGTACCGCCAAATCGCTGTTGCCTCCTCGCCGTGCCCTGCGCCACCCTCTCGCCCGTCGATCGTCGCCGCCAGTCATTGCTCTAGCCGTAGCGGGACGAGTAGAGTATAAAAAAAAATTTGGCGAGAAGGAAAGAAAAGAGGAGAAGGAAGAAGCAGACTGAAGATAGGAGCGGGCGAGCGGCGGATTCCCCAAAGTAAAGATGGGCTGGCCCTCCAGCAATTTTTTTTTCTCCAACCCTAGTTGGGCTGCCACAATACCAACTAATTAGGCCTCCTCTATTAGACCATGGCCCATGTTTTCAAACTCAAGCAAACAACGCTGGGTTCTAGAAAAAAAAACGAGGATGAGAACAAAGGAGGCAGCGGCAGTGAGTGCTCACAAATGGAAGGGTTTCTCAACCCTTATCACACAATCAGGCCCAGTGCACACTGATTTCCCACTGACCAAGCAAATGTGGTGTAACAAAATGGAGGTCCCTTATGAAATCACTAGTAATTTTTCTATGATACTAATGTCCAAGTTTCAATTGTGGCAAGTTTCATTAGCAGGCGAGAAACCGAATCATCACCAATCAACGTCAAAGGAGTGAAGATCATCACGATCCAAGAGTTGGTCGTCACTTCACTAGCCATTGTTGGGGTGAATGACAGTTTCTGCCAGCAAAGAAAGTCAAGCCACTATGTTGAGGTATTTCCGATCAGGTCGTTCATTTGGCGTTATTAAGAGGTTGCTAGATCTAAGAAGAGATTGCCCCTCGGCGTCCGTAAGGCAAGCATGACCCAAGAAAAGATGGGCCCCTCAACTTCACAAGGCAAGTCACGATCAGATCGTCCCCTCGACGTTCAGACGGTAGTACGATCAAAGAAGCGATCGTCCCCTTAGCGTTCAGAGGCAGTCGCGATCCAAGAAAAGATCGTCCCCTTGGTGTTTATTATTGGACAAAGACCAATTATTCATCACCTTTCAAGTTGGGCATTCACAGTGTTCATGCTCCAGCTTGAGGGGGAGAATAGGGAATCAACATAATCAACGCAGGTCAATTGACCAGTTCAGTCACCTGGTTTAGTCATCCGGCTAGCCACTTCAGTCATCAGATCGATCACAACTTCAAATGTGTCGATCAACCTATCAAGTTGCTCAGAGAGACGCAGTCAGCAGTCTCCAAATCAACCTCACTCAAGATGACATTCAACTTCTCTTTTCAAACTCGACATTCTTGACATTCATGTCTTCGTTTGAGGGGGAGTGAAGGAAATCATCAATGTTGTTTGTTACAGCATTCATCACCATCCACCATACCATCACCATTTATTCACCTGCACCAGACAACTGCAACAGTATACCCATGCTGCACCCATACTACTCCTGACAGCATCCATACTGTTCCAGGAACCACCATCACTTTCCAGCCTATCCTTGTATTGTTTAATGTCTTTCATTCTGTATAAGTAGAGTAGAAACCCTCTTGTACAATTTAAGCTTTCCATCAATAAAATCATCATACACAAATTCATCAGGAGGAGGGAAGAGAAGGGGGACAGCGACACCATTGCTAGCTGGGGTTTGGAAAGAAGGGGATGGTCCAGTGGCAGAGGAGGAGGAGGGCAGAGGTAAGTTTATTTTAATTTTTTAATAGTTGTAAAATGAGGTGGAAATTATAAATATTTAAATTTTATTATTTTTTTAATGATCAAGTCACTCATTTAACGGTCAACTATAATAGTTGACTGCCACATAAGCAAAAACTAACGGAGAGTGACCAAACTTGAACTATTGAACTAATCTTAGTGACCATGAATGGAATTAAATATTTGCAGTGACCAAACATGAACGGTTTTAGTAAACCCAGTGACCATCCTTGCAATTAACCCTATTTTTCAGGGTTTAGGTTAGAAGAAGAGGAAGAACGATGATGGAAGAACTATTGTGAATTTTGGTCCAAATATATTTTTTAATTGAAAACCTACATTATAAAACAAGTAATTTGAGAAAATCGTATAAATAAATTTTCTATGTTTTTGAACGAGTGATTTGAGACTAAATCTCGGGTGAAAATTTTCATTCAAACGACCCATTAATACATTGTTGTGCTTCATTTATAAACAGAAATACGTACACAACCCTTGGCGCTTTAACATCAATAAAAATAAATGAGAATAATATTCGAGAATTCAAATAAAAAATTTAATTTATAACATATATAAAGCCTTTAATATGATTATATAATAATAATAATAATAATTATTATTTTGACAACAATGATTTATAGCATTAGCTATATTAGAATCAATCAATCATCAAGTCAACTTATTACGTGGAGGCTTATCATTGTAACCACCAGTTTTCGCATTTGGACAATAATTTATTACTTTTGCATTAATATGATATGCATAACTTGATTTGCATCAATATCCATTGCATAATTTAATCTTCATTGTTGGTTGTAACTAAAATAATCAGAATTTTTATTTGGGTAGTTGGGATGATGCGGTAATTTTTCATTCTTTGCTTTTTGTTTGTTTGGTGTGTGGATTCTTGGGAGCATCTCTACACTTGAATTAACGGGCTAAGATGAAACTTTAAATTTTTTTTTAAAGGCTTTATTTACCTGTATATTGTCATTAGTGGCGGATTCAGGGGTGGTTACTCCGGGCCCTGGCCCAGCACTCTTCTCGATCCGGAACTAGTATAGCCCTTATGCGTTTATCGATTTTAGTCATTTGGTCCAGTGTTATTTTATAATAAAATTGAGTGTAATTAAGAAAATGAGTAAGATGAACATATTCAAATCATAACTCTAAATTTAGTTTAGAAATTCTAGCTCAAATGAGTCTCGTCTAAAGAAAAACAAACAATGAAACCTAAAATTCTAAAAGTCTAAAACGTAAAAGGCTAAAAGAAATATGAGATTTGTTCACTTGAAAAATCACAAGAGCAGGTGGTGGAAATAGGGTTGGATACACAATACAAAATGATTAGTCGATTCATTTGTCTAGTGTTGACATTGTCCGTTTCAACAGCTACTATGGACAGAACTTTTTCAACAATAAAACATATGAAAAATGATTTACGCAACAAAATGAGCGATGAATTTCTCGTCGACTGGTTAACTATTTTATTTGAAAAAGAGTAGTATACGATTAGTATGGATGTAGACTCCTTTATTGATGATTTCACTATATTAAAATATCGACGTGTACAATTGATATTGTAAAAAAAATTATAATTTTTTTGTGGTAACTAGTTTTCTAATGAAATGCGACCAGATACTCTACTATGTCCTGGATCCGCCGCTGATCATATATATATATGGTGGCTACTTCGGCGCACTCACTTTTTTGGGTGCATTCAATGCACCCAATTCTAAAGTGGTCATAATACATCAAATCTTGAACTTTAATGGGTAGTATTAGTCTAGTATGATGATATAACACAGAATCACAACTAATCAGTCCATTACCCTAACCAATTAACCTTCAATTTTGAATCCCAACCAAAAATCCCTAACTGTAAACCCTAACCATAACCCTAAATTCCTAAACCCTAAATCATTCAAATTATAGTGAATCTTGAATAATTTTTGTACATATTCATGTGGTTCTTGTTCATCATACCACAAGTGATGATTGACATCGTTTTCACATGAATCGCCTGCTCAGAATGACGATTATGAGGCGGTTGCATTGAATGCACCCAAAAAAGTGAGTGCACCG